TAGCAATATAGCAAGAATGCAAATTTAGCCAAGCTTTAAAGTTTCTGCTTTGGTCAGGTTTGATCTCCTCGTTCAAAAGTGTGTTCAGTATGTTTTCTATTAACATGAAAGGTAATCTCGCATTTCAATATTAGGGACATTTTAACTGGCTAAAAAATCAGTTTTAGTTCAATTTTTTTTTGCCAGTTTTCAGTGCAAGCTTAAGCAAAAGTGTACACTACCTGAAAGGCAGAAATATCAGTAAATTTGCATTTGATTTTACAGAATAAATAGTGAGCATAATTTCTGTATCTTAGAATAAAGTGCAAAATTACATTTTCCTTTATCATCATGATATATTATGTTCTTTTTTTTTGATAGACATAATAGCTGGGAGCCAGAAGAAAATATTCTTGATCCCCGGCTCCTGCTAGCTTTTCAAAGAAGGTAAGAATATTTCTTCCATTTAATTCCATAACTATGTTTCTTCTATACCCCAGGCAAGAGAGTGAGTAGATCACCTGTGCCTTCTACTTATTTTGATGTTCACTTAACTATCTAGGTGTTTAGAAGCACAAAAGCCCCTTCCAACTTTTGATTTTTTTTTTTGCTCCACTTAGTTTCCCAGTGAGATCAAGATTGGAAATTTGTTTGCACCTTTTTTTATTGTGGGTTTGACCAGCATACTTGAGTTATCAATAGTCACATGAATGTTGTGTTTTATTGAGAGTAAGGATGGAATTTTGTTTTAATTGCAGCCAACAAGAGAGAGAACTGCAGAATCGGAAACGAGGCAAGAGGCCCAGGGGCAGACCAAGAAAACATGTGGTATGATTGTTTGTTTTTTTTTCCTTTTTGTTTTATGTCAGTCTAATAGTGAAAAGAGTACTTCTTGTTTTCAGTGACTCTGGTGATTATATTAGCTCAAGTCAAATTAGAATTACAAACAAGCCATTTTTGGAATGCCACAGAGGATGAGTGTTACTTGAATTTATAACCTTTTTTTTAAGGAAGTTAATCAGTTGGGTACATAACAAACATGCAAGAGCAATCAGTACCAATTTTGAATCTTGTCCTGAGTTGTAAAGAGCATTATTATAAATATTTAATGACCATTTCCCCAGAGTTATATTTTTGGATAACTAGAACCTCCTGCTGTTGGTTGCCTTTTTAGTTTGGGTATCAGTCAGCCACATTTGCTTCGGGTTTGACAGAATCATTTCATGTGGAAAATAACAATTACTTTGTTTATTTAAAATGCAAATTGCTTGCTTAGTGAACAATATAATTGTTGTCCCTTTTTCTAACAGACAAGCTTAACTTTTTGATCGATATTACTTTTGTGTCATACGTAGAACATAGAACAGTACAGCACAGTACAGGCCCTTTGGCTCACGATGTTGTGCTAACCTATTATCCTCCTAAGATCAAACTACCCTGTATAGACTACATTATACTGTCATCCATGTGCCTATCCAAGAGTTACTTTAGAGACTTTTAAGCATCTGACTCCACTACCACTGCCGGCAGCGCATTTCACACACCCACCACTCTCTGTGTGTAAAGAACCTACCTCTGACATCTCCCCTATACCTTTCTCTAATCGCCTTAAAATTATGTCCCCTTGTAATAGTCATTTCTGCCCTGGGAAAAAGTCTCTGACTATCCACTCTATTTGTGCCTCTCATCATCTTGTACACCTCTATTAAGTCACCTCTCATCCTTCTTTGCTCCAATGAAAAAAGCACTAGCTCCCTCAAAATTTCCTCCTAAGACCTGCCCTCCAGTCCAGGCAGCATCCTGGTAAATCTCCTCTGCACCCTCCCTAAAGCTTCCACATCCTTCCTATAATGAGACGACCAGAACTGAACACAGTATGCCAAGTGTAGTCTAACCAGGGTTTCATAGAGCTGCAGCATAACCTCGTGGCTCTTAAACTCAATCCCCCTGCCAATGAAAGCCAACACACCATATGCCTTCCTTACAATCCTATCAACTTGGGTAGCAACTTTAAGGGATCTATGGACATGGATGCCAAGATCCCTCTGTTCCTCCACACTGCCAAGAATCCTGCCATTAACCCTGTATTCTGCATTCAAATTCGACCTTCCAAAATGAATCACTTCACACTTTTCTGGGTTGAATTCCATCTGCCACTTCTTTGCCCAGCTCTGCATCCTGTCAGTGTCCCTTTGCAACCTACCACAGCCCTCCACACTATCCACCACTCCACCAACCTTCGTGTCATCGGCAAACTTACTAACCCACCCTTCCACTTTCTCATCCAAGTCATTTATAAAGATCTCAAAGAGCAGAGGTCCCGGAACAGATCCCTGTGGAACACCACTGGTCACCAAGCTCCAAGCTGAATACTTTCCATCTACTACCACCCTCTGTCTTCTATTGGACAGCCAGTTTTGTATCCGGACAGCCAAATTTCCCTGAATCCCATGCCTCCTTACTTTCTGAATGAGCCTATCATGGGGAACTTTATTGAATGCCTTGCTAAAATCCATATACACACATCCACTGCCCTGCCTTCATCGATGTGCTTTGTCACAGCCTCAAAAGAATTCAGTAAAGCTTGTGAGGCATGTCCTGCGCCTCACAAAGCCATGCTGACTATTTCTAATCAAACTGTGCTTTTCCAAATAATCATAAATACTATCTCTCAGAATCCTCTCCAATAATTTGTCCAGCACAGAGGTAAGACTGACTGGTCTATAAGTCCCAGGATTATCCCTATTCCCTTTCTTGAACAAGGGAATGACATTTGCCACCCTCCAATCATGTGGTACTACACCAGTGGACAGCGAGGGCGCAAAGGTCATCGCCAAAGGGGCAGCAATCTCTTCCCTCGCTTCCTGTAGTAACCTTGGGTATATCTCGTCTGGCCCAGGGGACTTATCTGTCCTCATGTTTTTCAAAATTTCTAGCACATCCTCCTTCCTAACATCAACCTGTTCGAGCATATCTGCCTGTTTCATGCTGTCTTCACAAACGTTAAGGTCCCTCTCACTGGTGAATACTGAAGCAAGGTATTCATTAAGGACCTCCCCTACCACCTCCGACTCCGCGCACAAGTTCCCTCCACTATCCCTGATTGGTCCTACCCTCACCCTGGCCATCCTCTTGTTCCTCACATAAGCGTAGAACGTCTTGGGGTTTTCCTTGATCCTACCCGCCAAGGTTTTTTCATACCCCCTTCGAGCTCTCCTAAGTCCATTCTTCAGTTCCTTCCTGGCTACCTTGTAGACCTCTAGAGCCCTGTCTGATACTTGCTTCCTTCTTCCTCTTGACTAGATGTTCCACATGTCTTGTCACCCAAGGTTCCTTCACCTTACCATCCCTTCCTTGCCTCAGTGGGACAAACCTATCCAGTACTCGTAGCAGCTGCTCCCTAAACAACCTTCACATTTCTGTTGTGCATTTCCCTGAGAACATATGTTCCCAATTTATACTCTGCAGTTCTTGCCTAATAGCATTGTAATTTCCCCCTCCCCCAATTGAATACTTTCCCATATCATCTGCTCCTATCCCTCTCCATAACTATAGTCAAGGTCAGGGAGTTGTAATCACTATCACCAAAATGATCTGACACCGGGCCTGTTTTGTTGCCAAGCACCAAATCCAATATGGCCCCCCTCTAACCGGCCTATCTACATATTGAGTCAGAAATCTTTCCTGGACACACCTCTCAAAATCTGCTGCATCCAAACTATTTGCACTTAGGAGGTTCTAGTCTGTATTAGGGAAGTTGAAGTCACCCATGACAACAACCCTATTACTTCTGCACCTTTCCACAATCTGTCTCCCAATCTGTTCCTCAGTGTTTCTGTTGCTATTGGGGGGTCTATAAAACTCCTAATAAAGTGACTGCTCCTTTCCTTTTTCTGACTTCCATCCAAACTGACTCAGTAGACAAACACTCCTCGATGACCTCCCTTTCTGCAGCTGTGGTACCATCCCTGATTAGCAATGCCACTCCCCCACCTCTTTTATCTCTCTCCCTATTCCTTGTGAAACATCTTTACCCGGGAACATCCAGCAACCATTCCTGCCCCTGTGTTATCCAAGTCTCTGTAATGGCCACAACGTCATAGTTCCAAGTATTGATCCATGCTCTAAGTTCATTACCCTTATTCCTGACACGTCTTGCATTAAAATCGACACACTTCAACCCATTGCACTGACTGCAACTTTGCCCTATCAACTGTTTATGCTTCCTCACAGACTCTCTATGTTGTATCTGCCTGTACATCGGCTACCCCATTCTGATTTGTAGCTCTGGTTCCCATCCCCCTGCCAAACTAGTTTAAACCCTCCTGAAGAGCTCTAGCAAACCTCCCGCCCAGGATATTGGAGCGCCTCCAATTAATGTGCAATCCATCCTTCCTGTACAGGTCCCACCTTCCCCAGAAGGTATCCCAATGTAATGTTTGCTTAAAGTGAAAATTCCATTGTGATTTCCTAATCATCTATAACAGACCCTATAAGGTGTTTGTAGCCCTCATATGGGTTTTATTTCTTTTATATTGGCAGTGAAATGGGCAGGTATATTGCAGAGAAATGTGACCTGATGCATTTTGGAAGGAACACCAAAGATACAGTATAAATTAATTTTAAACACCCAGGAACCAGAAACTTCAATTTATGTGTACAAATTTTTAAAGGTGGCAGGATAAATTTAAAAGCTCCAACCGGGATCCATGGCTTTATTAATTGAGACAGAGAACCAATGCAAAGAAACTCTGCTCAACCTTTTTATAACTTATTGGCTAGGCTTCGAATGAAGTGATGTGTGAAATTCTGCATGTTGCTATTTAAAAAGGGTATCAAGGCTTTGGAAAAGAGATTTACCAGGATGATACTAGGGATAAGGAACTTCAGTTATGTGGAAAAACAAGAGCATCTTATGATTGAGCTTTACAGCAGAAAAGTTTAAGGTTAATAGAGTTGTTAAAAGCTCAGAGTTTTTTAAAGAGTAAATAAAGAAACTATTTCCACTAGTAGGAGGGTTAGTATCTGGAGGGCACCAATTCAGGATAATTTCAAAAAGAACTGGGGGGCGATGTGGTGAACCTTATTTAATGCAGTGTGATCTGTTATGTACCTCCTGTAAGGCAGCAGGAGAAGACTCTAATAACTTTAATTAACAAGTTGACTATATACTTGGAAATGTTTGAGGGGCAATACAGAAAGAGTAGGGGAGTGAAACTGATTGAATAACTCTTTTGAACAGCTGATATAAGCATAATGGGGCAAATAGCCACTTCCTCTGTTCTACAATCAGCTGGATTACGTTGGGCCAAACTTTTTTGTTTTTATTTTCAGTACTAGTGTAAGTATTGCTAAGCTGCAACACTAGTATATACCTGGCAATATGGAAACAAGTATGTCCTGTCAGAACAACACGAACCAATCAATTTCCATCCCATATGTCTACTCCTTGATTATGAGCAAATTGATAGAAGGTCTCTTTGGCAGTGCTATCAAGCGACTCTTGCTTACAATAACCTTCTGGCATTTTGGGCTCTGCCAGGCCACTCAACTCTCAACCTCATTTAAAGCCTTAATCACGATGGCACAAAAGAGTTGGACTCCAGAGGTGAGAGTTGCTACACTTGCCATCGAGATAGTATTTGACAGAATGCAGGATCAAAGAACTCTAGCAAATTGAGAGTCAGTGGGAATCTGGGAGAAAGTTCTCCACTGTTTGGACTTGTATCTACCACAAAGGAAGATGATTGTGATTATTGTTCGATTGTCTCTGTCTCTGTCCCAGGCCATAATTGCAGAAATTTCTCAGGGTGGTGGCCTAGCTCCAA